CCCTACATTTTGTAGAGTTGGAACACTCACCTGCTGGTGCCAAGGACTTCAGTGATTCTAAAAGATGTGGACTAGAAAACTTGACCACGCATCTGAATGGTTCTTTTTTATCCAAAACATTCATTTCAGGATCACTTTTAAACATCGTCTCAAGCTGTTAACAAAAAATTTAATCAGAGAGTATAAATAGTGAATATATGTTGTTTACATGTTTTTACTTAAACGTTATATGAAAAACGTACTATGTCTGTATCTTATTTGCCTATTATTTCTAATGTTAACACGATTCCAGCTGTAGGAATATTGTAATGAAATCAGAGGGTGCCACCATGTGGTAAACTATTGCTGAAAGAGGCAGCTGCTTCAATAATATTGTAAAACACTGAGTGTCTCTTAAGAATTTCCAACTTATCTGTTCATCAGATAAAATCTGTGCATCATCCAAGAAATTAGATTATGGTGTTTATGTAGTCTAAGCTTTGTACGTACTTCAAATAACCCTATTTTCTCATCCAACGTGCTGCTGGTATAAGTCTACCTTTATTTACAAGTCAAAATACTTAGTTCACAAGGCTGAAAGACTGAAATGCGATCTAGTAGTCTTACCAAATCTCCATGCAAATGTGTTTCTTAAAGGTAATTTTAACTTATTTATTTTAAAATATGTCCTCTTTAAAGTTGTTTTTTTTTAAATAAATCTAATATTTCTTTAATTTGCAATTTGATGTAGCTACCATTATATTAAAAAATTATTTAAAAACCACAATTTGTTGCTTTTACTACCTTATATTGTGCAAATTCAAGCTTTGGTTGGGGACCATCACCAAAAACTTCCTTATTCACTCTCAGTATTCTTTCTTTCTCATTTCTGTTTTCTTGAACTATCCTTAAATCTGCTGCAGGGAAAAAAAGTAGGTAAGAGAAGACAAAGAAAACAACAAAACAGAAAACCAGCTTTGTCAGCTGATACAATATTTTTCTGATCAGATGATTACTCCAGTGAAAATCTGAAAATAATAATTTTAAAGAATTCATCAGAAATTTTTTTTCAGAAGCTATCTGTCTCCATCAGTTTCTATTCTTACCAAGAGAAAAAACTCAACTAATATGAAATGTGATACTGGGCATTGAGTATTTTTGGTTTCATAACCGACCAATGACAGTCATGGGGAAATATTTACCTCTCCTAGTGACAGCTTTTATTACATCACCCCACCAGGATGGATAATATAATGCAGATGTAACATATGCACATTTCCTATTATGATTCTCATTTCATAAGCCAGCAGTAATGACATTCAAACACCTATTTAATTTAAAATATACATACCACTTTCCAGTGCTATGTTCCTTTCTTGTAGGGGCTTTGGATAATAAGTTTGAAAGTTCTACAGAGAGGGAGAAAAACAAAACCAAAACCAAATTAGTTCACTTCCACTTTTAGAGGCTGTAGCTGAAAAGAATTTTTCAGATTTCTTCTTATTCTGAAAGTAAGTATTCTTCCATTTTTTTGACAATTACTAGACTGGCTTTATTTTGAGAAAAGAGTGTATATTCTATGGTAATTGTGGACATTTCTCTATTTAGAAGTTTTACATGGATGAGCAGAGTAAGCGCCTTCAACTCACTGCTCTAAGAAGCCTACTGAAATGATGCTAAAACGTCTTTGGACTGCATTGTTCATACCATGTTTAGACTGAGTTTAAACCATCAGGAATAACAATAATAAAGAGTAGGTGGGATACCAAGTAATTACATCCCCACTGTAATGTTACCTTAATGAAAGGTTGTCCACCTCAGTGGTTCAGTATTGTTTTAACTTGATGTCTCTTGGAAGAAGTGAATTCCCCCCCTGCTAGAGGATGAGACCTAGGCCTGAAACAGAAAGCAAGACTTAGGATGTACTTGTAAAGTGACTCACCTGGCTATATCTCTTAAACACAATATCTTTAAGGGAGTTTAAAGAATGACTTCGAAGCTCCATTTCACGGATGTCATGGTAATTGGAAGCAGCTACCAAGGCCTTTAAGTAAAAATTGAAACTGTTTTAACATCAGTCTTGATCATCGCTGCTCTTATAATATGGAAAGAATACAGTTTTTCTAGACATTGCAATGTTTTTGTTTCAAGGTAAGCAACTGCCCTTTAATTAGCAGGATTCTCATGTCTGCAAATGCGTTGAATAAACTGTTAAGATTAGGTTGATATTTAAAAGCATTCATGGGATTAACCAGATAGGCCTATAGCCTTATCAGCTGAAAAATAAATAAATACATAAAATAAACAGATTAATAAAATAATTCAATTGCTTGTACAGAAATCTGCTAAATAGATAACAAATTACAGACTACCAACATTGATCACCACAATTTAACAGAAAATGTCTTAAAACTAATTAATAGCACTCCCTAATGACCTTATACTTTTAGTTCTTAAAGTTAACTGTGTTGGTGTAATATTCTTCAACTTCTACAAGTCAATTTAAACAAATATTGCCTACCATTTGGTTAAGAAATTAGAGCAATTCAAGGCTAGCAAAAATTCCACTAGATTGTATTGATTCACGATGCATCATTCCAAAGGTCACAAAGATTGGTTTTTGCCCCATTTTTATCATGAGCTAAGGGGGAGAGGGGAGACTGTGGAAATTAGGAAATTACACTAAGTGATAAAGCTTTACCTATCCTTTTACAGGCTAATACAATTATAGTTTTACATGACCGTGGTGAAGTCAGGGCCTACACTGTTTTATTCTGTACCTGACATAACAGAGGCAAGTTGCTTTTAAGCACTGAGACAGAAATGAAGACATAGGGAGTCTGTGAATGGTACACAACATAGCTGGTTTTGTATTGGTTTGGTTTTGTATACGGTGTTCCCCAGGCAATTCTAATCCAGACTGCATCATCCTCATATTCTCTGAAGTTGATAGTGACCTAATAGAAAAAGAAAAGCTTTGATTTACCAGCACATTCAGGCATCTAGAAAGATTTTCTCTCTTAACCCTGTGTTCACAAGAACCCAAACATAATTTAGTACACCACTGCTTGAATAAGATCCCACTAGTGTGGTCAGGATTGTATTTAAATCAAATTTTCACAGAAAAGCAATAAACTTAAACTGAAGAAAAAAATCACCTTTTAAACTCCAAAATGACTTTTGTATTCATGTACATTTTCTTCTGAAGAGTGAAAATAAGAACAGCTTATTACAAAAGCCTTGATTCTTTGTTTTGGGAAAATAACACAACAAAAAGATGGAAGGCTAGAGGCAGGATTTCCAATAGGTCAAATTTTTGAGATGCAAAAATTTTGATCAACTTGTGATTTTGTATTTATCACTGTTCAAGAATACACAGGCAGAAATTTGAAGAAGATTCCCTTTTCTGTTCTTGTAGATTTGCTCCTCAGTTACTTTTTTACCTTCACCCAATCTGGGTAACTTAAAAGTGGGAAAACTTCCTTTAAAGAAAACAAACAAAAAACCAAACCAAAACACAAATCACCCCCAAACAAACAAAAAACCCAACAAACAAAACCAAACCAAAACCAACTCTTCCTTTGAGGTACATGTAGTGAAGCTTCTAGTCCAGCTACATCACAAATTGCTTAAACTGCTAGACCAACATAACTTCTCAAAGTTTTTCTGTATTTTTTAAATTAAAATATTGCAAAACTTTACTGTAATAGTTATATGAACGGCAACTGATTATCTGTTACTCTGATTTGTATTTGTTGCCCCCTACTGTTGTCAGTGGGAATCCTTTGTGGATCAAGAAGTGACACGGCTAACTTGCCAGAGGGATTATCTATAGCTTTGCTTAAATGAAGCTGGTGAGCTGAAGCAAGAAAAGGCTTCTGCAAATTGCTTAGCAAAAGTGAGGTGATGGTACCTACTTTTCATGTTTTTCTTGTCGTGCTCATTTTTGTGGTCTAGAAACTGCTTCTTGCTACTGACAATGGTCTTTCAGTCATTATGATGTAAAGAAATACTAGGGCCAAGTTCTCACAGCCATCACAAAACACCATTTCAAAATCAGAACTAAAAGGAAATGGGTACAATTTCACTACTAATCTAAGTTGCAATAACTGAACTTCCTTGTCCTGCTTACTGGCTACTTCAAATTCGCCCTACACTCGGCTTGTTCCGATTGTTATTGTTTGTGTGTTGATACCGGGTAACATGGCAAAGCAATATAAACCTACCTAGGCAACACGTGTACTCAAATAGTGGAAAAATGTGATAGAAAACAAACACACTGCCTTTCTTGAAGCCCATCATATTTTAAGGCAAACTTACATTTTATTTCACTCTAGCATAATTGAAAATTTGGTAGAATGGATATGCAATAGTTTTCTTATTTCCCTACCATTCCCAAATGAACAATTCAATTTAATTTTGATGTAGTCTATAAGAAAAAAAAATACCATGCTAAAGTTACGAAAACAATTTATTGATGTCAGAGCTGTGTAACAAACTTAGAATGGATTTATTCTTACATTTTTCAAGGCTGACCGAAGTCGTCTTTTAAATTTTTTTTTGAAATCTGTTACATCAAAAAAATCCGTTTCTTCCCCTGTTACACAAGAAAAAAAAAAACAAACTAGAATTGTCTTTACAAGAAGTAGTTTAGAGAAGTTTTCTACAGCTTTGCTGAAACAAAATTAAGCAGAGAAAGCTGAAGTTGCATAGCCTTATATGAAAAGCTGTATATTAAATTTAAGCCTCATTATTGCTATTTAAAGGTTAGTATTTAATCAGTAGTTACTAATTTCTAATAATTGCATGAGAAGTTAATTGAAAGTATTCTAAAAACAGTAAAGGTATCTCTATTGAAAAATCCATTTTAGACTATAAAGATAGCTCTACTGAAAAAATCCAAACTAGACTGCATTTAAAACACATGATATTAGGCAGCACTTCACTAAGTTGCTGAGAACTATGAGATTACAGCAAGGAAAGGCATTTTACCTCTTTTGCTCATCTGGTAAACACTCCACATTCTTTTGTTTGGGTAGATGTGGTTGTCTAAGAAAATAAGGAATTGCTCAATAACACAATATATTATCAAATGGCAATTAAAGGGACAACTAATACCATACTTTTATGACAAGGTTATTTCTAAAAGATTACTTCTGATACCACTCATAGTACACCTAAAATAATTTTTTAAAATTTGGTTAAACTAATAAAGAGTATCTCTGAGGTTCAATGTTTAAAGAAGTATTTTACCTAATATGACCGAAACTCAGTCTAAACACAAACTAAGAAGTGTTGACTGTTAAAAGAAACTTTGAGATTTAAACTATTCTGTCATCAAGTTGTGAGTTAAGAGTTCCACCTGGTGTATTTGCTGATAATTTTGCCTATGTCACTCCCTATTGGAGGATGATATTACTGATTCTAGGGTTCAGTGCATACTGGAGACAAACATCTCTCTCTACATTCATAACTCTGTGCTGAAATGTGGTTTACCACGGTTTAGATCTATTTAGACCTCAGAAGAAGCAAACATACTCTTTTTGATTTTGAGCTTTTGAATTTTTTTAAAAAAGGTTAGATACTTTAACATCCATCATCTAAAACGTAATCTGTTTACACCAAATGCATCTGTACCTCACTAGAGCAACTGCTATGTAATTAAGGGCATTATCAAGTTACTCAGAAAAATAGAAAGAGGTTATTTTAATTTAATTTTTTACTCACAGATTATGTCTAGAGCAGCTGCTTGCTTTATGTCTGCAGAATTTTCCTAGAAAGAATAACAAAGCACAGTGAGTTATAGGTCCAGAATGCTCTACCACACTGTTTAGTAAGTGAAAAATCTCAGTATTGGTAGTTTAAAGTACTGCACTGAAGTCCACAGCACATACATGCTCCTCAGAGATACCACACTTGGTCCCAATGTGCACACAATACTGTTTTCAGAAATCAATAATGAAAGCTATTTCAGCAAGGTTTAAGTGTTTCTGCAGAGGCAGCAAGAAAAACGTTGTCCTTATAGCATAACATACAAGCAATTAGCAAGTAAAATTAATGGGTAATCATGATATTACGCAATAGTGACTAGTATTTCACTGTCAGGAATTTTAAGATACTTGGTTCCTCTTTATTTAACCATCATAGCATGAAAAGATTTTTAAGAAACTTTATGACACTATAAGAATCGTTTCAGAAACAAATGCTATTTTAAAATAAGACATTTGCTATCTTACAAGAATAACTTAACAGCTTGCCTGCAGTTTGATCTACACCTCATGTAATTAATCTTTGAGCATGAATTTTAAAGAGAATGACATGAAAAAGCTATAGAATTTAAGAGATATCAGTAATAACTGTATCTAACTGGGTTATGATACTATATATAAAGACACCTAGTACATATTAAGATTCCTGGTACACCAAAATCAGAGTACTTAAGTAGGAGATCACAAAACTTTTTTTTGCTTAAACTATTTCCATTGCAGAATGGAAATAGTTCCAGCCAAGAAAATAAAAAAAAATATCTAAAAAGTCTAAAAGATATAAACTAGTGCTATCATTACTGATACTTAATACATTTAAATTAGCACTATGTAATGAGTATACATGTCAATGAATGCCTTTACTTTACAATTTGGAAATACACCCATTTCTTAAAGGTTTAACATGCTAAGTTTTTACCTGCCCTGTGCAACTTAGAGCTCAAAACACATACTACCATACTCAGTCCTATCAACTCGACAAAATTAATGGTATTACTAGCTCAGCTTTACATTTTCTGGACTACAAACTGCTATTTGATGCTGTGTTATGGCCAAAGATAATTAGATTCTTCATAAGAATGTCTTTTGAACGGTGCTTCAACATACATCCTGTATGCCACCGACAGGCAGTTCCCAAAGGACAGGATTACCTCACAGAGCTGAACAACATCTCGAGAAATATTCTCCTTTATCTGATGGAAGTTTATGGTTTGCAGCTGTGTCTCAGAGAGAAAGCCCCATTTCTGCAGCATGGTCTTGATTTCATCTCGTGGGGTTTTTACTACAGTTCTTCGGATATACTCAGCAACAGTTTCATCCATGATGAAGCCACCTGAAAAGTTGAAACGCTAAAGAAGACCAAGGCACAGGCAGGCTCAGGAGACTCGCTCCCTTAGTAAGCTGTACCTAGGCACGACTAGCAGAACACAGGGATCAGTCCTAAGCGTGGCACTACCACAGATTTCGGCGGACACCAGCGACAGTGAGTTAAAACGCTTTCTACAATAATTTTTCCCCAAGCCTTCAGAAGTTTACCTCATTGACCGAGGCCTGGTGCGAGCTTCTGGAAAGACACGGGGCGCTGGCCCTCACCCAGGGCTGTTATGGCCTGTCCGGTCCGATGAGTGTCCAGCGGGCACGGACGCAAAGAGAACCGCAGAAAC